CTTAACCTGGTTAACTTTGCTGTCACATAAGTCGGAAAATAAAAGCGGATAGATTAATAAGAAATATAAATAAATCTTCTAGGAAGTTAGTAATAATTGCATCTGTTGAAGGTGAATTTGTAGAACTTTGATCGAGAAGTCATCTAATACGTCAATAATTACGTTTCCATTCAAGTTTTTGGTGAATTTAGAATAAATTTCCCGCTTTAAAATAAAGCAAGCGACGTTGTAAAAATATTGACCGCGACCATCTAGTAGACCACGAAATATACAAGAATTTATTATTTTATCATGACAGCATTTGCTCGCTGAAAATAATTGTAACACATTTATTTAACTTTAGGCAAAAAGTCGAACTTCAAAATACGATAGATTTAAAAAATCTAAGAGAGAATCAAGTTGAAGGCTGCATTTAAAAATATACCTATACTATACCTCTATCAAGTTGAAGGCTGCATTTAGAAAAATATATTCTATACCTCTACCAAGTTGAAAGCTGCATTTAGAAAAATATATACTATACCTCTATCAAGTTGACAGCTGCATTTAGAAAAATATATACTATACCTCTATCAAGTCTCAATAAAATATATACTATACCTCTATCAAGTCTCAAAAAAATATATACTATACCTCTATCAAATCTCAATAAAATATATACTATACCTCTATCAAATCTCAATAAAATATATACTATACCTCAATCAAGTCTCTACCCAGCACATCGCACACAGCTTCGTGACTGTAGCATCGCGTTTATAAACACGCGAGTACTGGCGGCAGACGGGGCCGGGAGAGAAAGGTTCTCACGCTGCAGAGCATCATGTCAGTGCGAGCAAAAAAACATCACACAAAATTAAATTATACATGCGGCGTACTGACTGATGATAATACGGGACGAAATAATTCAACTCGGTAACTCTGTGCATATGAGAGTATCATTAATGCGTGACGTATTGAGTCTTTGTAACGACGTTGAGATGATATAAGGTCATAATGACAGCACACAAGATCACTTGCATCGCAATCAGTGCTTTAATCTCTCACTGATTGTGCATTGGCTTAATTAAGTGATCACGAACGATGCAATCGCAGCGGCAATCATATAGTACGACGAGCTACCAGTGAATATGCCACCGCTTGTTCAAAGAAGACCTCGCATATGGCGACAGACAACGCTTGCATGCCACTGCGTTGAGCGACAGACAACGCTTGCATGCCACTGCACGGAGTGGCAGACAACGCTTGCATGCCACTGCACGGAGTGGCAGACAACGCTTGCATGCCACTGCACGGAGTGGCAGACAACGCTTGCATGCCACTGCGTTGAGCGACAGACAACGCTTGCATGCCACTGCACGGAGTGGCAGACAACGCTTGCATGCCACTGCACGGAGTGGCAGACAACGCTTGCATGCCACTGCACGGAGTGGCAGACAACGCTTGCATGCCACTGCATTGAGTGGCAGACAACGCTTGCATGCCACTGCACGGAGTGGCAGACAACGCTTGCATGCCACTGCATTGAGTGGCAGACAACGCTTGTATGCCACTGCATTGAGTGGCAGACAACGCTTGCATGCCACTGCACTGAGTGGCAGACAACGCTTGCATGCCACTGCATCGAGTGGCAGACAACGCTTGCATGCCACTGCATGAGTGAATGGTATGTATGAATATGTATACCAGTATGTATGAATGAAATGTTGCATCCACATAATACCAGTATATGCAAACTGGATGTAATGTAAATGCTGAGAACTGACATACGTGGGCACAGCCAAATTCCTGTTATTAAACATTATGCACTCCAATCATATGAAAATTATCCTCGTTTTGGAAGGCTAGAATTTGCAGAAATAGCTTAAATATTCAAAACTTCATACGTCATCACCTGCTAAAAGAGATGTCCCGAGGGTTCCTACCATGAAACAAGAAGGAGTGGCTGAGGGAGCGCAAGATCCTGCAGCTAGCTAACCTCCTCAGGCATTTTTTTGCACTCGTCATTATGCAACAATTTTAATGGCAACAAGTGCCCGATGCCCAGCGCCTTGTGTCCAGTATCTACTGTATAGTTACCAGTATTCAGTATCTAGTGTCTACTGCATAGTGGCCAGTATCCAGTCATAGTGAATAGTGACCAGTATCCAGTAATTAGTTGGAGTGGCCAGTAAATCCACTGTGCAGCGTACAACGCAATGGAAGGAGAAATAAGGAAGTTCTAACGCGGTGTCGTCCCGTTTCTTCATTGCTGTGCACTGTATAAGGAACATGGACTATAGTTGCATCAACACAGCACCGTGTGCCTCAATAGAGAACTTTAGTTTAGCACAAGACTATATTCTTAAACGGGCACTTGGTATCTGGAAGACATTGACATAGACGTTACCTACTAAAAACTTATAAATAATAATGAGTGCCACGAAAATTAACTTCGATTTTCGAGAATCAACGTCGAGAAAGCATTATAGAATCTCTTAGTATTTGAGCTATTATAGGACAAATAATTGGTCAATATGGAGAAGACACAATATAAAGAAGACTTGCATCTTAAATAGGCGGTGTGAATCAATCATCTAGAGACAATATTTCGTTAGCCAATTGAACGACTGAAGATTCAATTCGGAGTTCTTGAAAGAGCGCGTGATCTTTGAACAAAACAAGTTTTCTTGGTCGCGTATCTCTGAACGAAACAGAACGGATGTTCTAAGTTCCGTACCTAGGAACAGAACGGGTGTTCTAAGTTCCGTACCTAGGAACAGAACGGGTGTTCTAAGTTCCGTACCTAGGAACAGAACGTGTGTTCTAAGTTCCGTACTTAGGAACACAACGTGTGTTCTAAGTTCCATACCTAGGAACAGAACGGGTGCTCTAAGTTCCGTACCTAGGAACAGAACGGGTGTTCTAAGTTCCGGACCTAGGAACAGAACGGGTGTTCTAAGTTCCGGACCTAGGAACAGAACGGGTGTTCTAAGTTCCGTACCTAGTAACAGAACGGTGTTCTAAGTTCCGTACCTAGGAACAGAACGGTGTTCTAAGTTCAGTACCTAGGAACAGAACGGTGTTCTAAGTTCCGTACTTAGGAACAGAACGTGTTCTAAGTTCCGTACCTAGGAACAGAACGGTGTTCTAAGTTCCGTACCTAGGAACAGAACGGTGTTCTAAGTTCCGTAACTAGGAACAGAACGGTGTTCTAAGTTCAGTACCTAGGAACAGAACGGGTGTTCTAAGTTCCGTACCTTGGAACAGAACGTGTTTTCTGGCGACACTTGGCACGTATCAGCGGATGACGTCAGCGCCACTCCAGGAATGAACCCGCCAGCTCTGGCGCGCAGGAACAAAGAGCGATAGCGTGTGTATAGAGTGTACAATGTACAGTTTAATCGATTGTTGAGTGTACAGTAGAATATAGAGTGTACAATACACTTGGCGCGGCAATACAGGCACAGTATTACAGCCAGGGCCACTGCCACCCCAGTTAGTAGCTGTGAATATATTGAACAAAAGTGGATTTACTAAGACCTGCATGAAATGCATCACGAACCTACTCAATATCTTATATAAGGTGTACTGGATTAAAATAACACAAATTTACAATGATTTTAACGGGTTTTATCTTTTCTGTTATAGCTAAGAATAACTGGATTGATTTGCATCAATATTAAAGCCCACTTCCTGCCTATGCCATATATGCATACTAACTCCTGTACTTCCTACAATACTAGATGCGCCTACTTCCTGCAGTACTAGATGCGGCTATAACTGCCTGCCTTATTAGTGTATTTTACTAGGTACGCCTACATCCCGTCTACAATATTAGGTATGCCTACTTCCTGCAGCGTCTAGGCAAAGGAGTGCCTAGAATATTGCAATCGTGCCTAAACAACGCAGAGCAGGAGCCTGGAGCTTCCAGGGCAGGTGGCTGTTGAGGCCAATTAAGATAACCAAGCCTCGGCAGGATGGCAGGATATGAAGGATTTGTTATAATTTTTATCGATATTTTCGATGTTTTCAATGTAATATTTAGTAATATCGTAAGCAGCCCTTCAAAAATAGCTCTAACCAGCAGCGGCAGGCTTATTGCACGAGGAAAGTTTATGGTAACAACTTAGCAGGTTGCCGCGCATAGTGGCAGGTTAGCAGGTTACCGCGCATGGTAGCAGGTTGCCGCACATGGTAGCAGGTTAGCAGGTTGCCGCGCATAGTGGCAGGTTAGCAGGTTGCCGCGCATGGTAGCAGGTTAGCAGGTTGCTGCGCATGGTAGCAGGTCAGCAGGTTGCCGCGCATGGTAGCAGGTTAGCAGGTTGCTGCGCATGGTAGCAGGTCAGCAGTTTGCCGCGCATGGTAGCAGGTGAGCAGGTTGCCGCGCATGGTAGCAGGTTGCCGCGCATGGGAGCAGGTTAGCAGGTTGCCGCGCATGGGAGCAGGTTAGCAGGTTGCCGCGCATGGTAGCAGGTAGTCGAGGTGCAGGTATGTGGGAGTGGTGGCCACCGCAAGCTATAGGCCAGTTGCCAGCCACCGACGCGCCCGCGGCAGTCGTTCACAGCAAAGGCAGCGCCGGACACGCGACATTAAAAGATATTAAATTAAATTATATTAATATTATATTATATTAATAAATATAATATAATATTAAATTATGCTATATAATATTAATAAATGTAATATATTATCAAATTATATTAAATTACGCGATATTGCCTAGTGTATTATGCCTTAATGTGTTGTCTGGGTGCATATACCATGATTGAATCATGAACAATAATTAAATTGTCGAATCATTTTTATCATTGTTTATTTTATACAAGAACAATCGAGTACGAAGAGAACAGATTTTTTTGTAGCAATTTTCTTGTTTGTTTCTTTCAACAAGTCGAAAAATGTTCTGTCATACTATACTATTAAATTTATTATATTAGTATAGTAAAGCATTCCTCACAAGCATGCAATCGATATTTTAAACGTAAGCTTTTACACAATTTAATTTCTTTCTATTTCAGAATTGAAGAATCTCCCGGCATTACATTATGGATGATGCAATAGTGGAGCATGGACAACTACAAGAATCCTACTTGAGAAGAAATAACAGCGAAAAACATCGTTTTGCAAATTACACATCATCAAAAACTACATTATCATCATCAGTCGCAACTACGAAGCAGCAACATAGAAGCTTAACTTCATCACTGCACAATTCCTCCAGAACCATGAGACTCACCAAAGCTGGGTCATGGTTGTGGTTGGTACTGTTAAGTGTGTCAGTGTATGTGGTGGGGGCGGAGGACAACCGTCCATGGGTGAGACCGGCGCCCGTGGGGGCGACGCCCACGCCGGCCCCCGAACTGAACTTCAGCGCACAACCCGCTAACACCAGCGTCGTGGAGGGCAGCATTGCCATCATGAAGTGCAAGGTCATTGCAACTTTTCGCTAAATTTTGAAATATAATAGGTTATCCCATTAATTTTATATATATCAGGATGTTCATTAATTTTGACCCCCGCTACATTAAGTAAGCATGTTCATTAATTTCATATATATCATTTTTATACAGGGTGTTTCAGAATTAAGTAACCCTTTTAATTTGTTAATAAATAAAAAACACTAAGAACGTTATGAAGTTGAAACTTGTTTTATTTAAAAGAAGAACATTTTCATGGTAATAGTGTATCATAGTTACGTCATTATCCTGTATAGCTTGCTAAAAAATGTTCTTCTTTTAAATAAAACAAGTTTCAACTTCATAACGTTCTTAGTTTTTTATTTATTAACAAATTAAAAGGGTTACTTAATTTTGAAACACCCTGTATATATCATGACATTAATATAATAATAATCCACGCCAGCGTCGTAGAGGGCAACATTGCCATCATGAAGTGCAAGGTCATTGCAACTTTTTGCTGAATTTTGAACTTTTTCTAACGTTTGCAACTTTTTCTTACACGCAATACGGAGTTTTATTTACTTAAATGTTGATAGCTGGTACAATATTGGGCCATTACTGGTATAGTGAAATTAAAGACTTTGCTGCTGGTATAGAAAGTGGTATTGCTAGAAGTGGTTTTGTCGGTATAGCTGGTATAATAATACGGTTGATCTGGTTGCATGCGGTGAAACCACTTCACCACTGTAGCTGGGATAGAAAGTGGTACCTATTGCTAGTAGTGGTATTGCTATATTGGTATATAATACGGTTGACCTGGTTGCAGGCGGTGAGACCAGTTCACCACTGTAGCTGGTACTACATAGAGACCAACCGCAGCTTCTACGACGAGGGGGCCGAGCCTAAACTTGTCAAGCAGTTCACGCCGTCCAAAGACAACGATTGTTCCATCAGGTTCACCAAGGTTAGTGGATGTTGTTTCACTTATATCTCAGAGTCATGTTTGTATCATCCGGCCTCCCAAAATGTCTTTTCTGTGATGATAGAAAGATGTTCAAGTCTCATTTCATGTTGCAACTACGAAGAATCGTGTTCTGTTGGTAGTAAGTTACAAATTATTCAGTCCGGAAAAGATAACAGAAGTATTTCGAACGGAAAATTCTCGATGTCCGACAAAAAGAAAAAAATTATGAAGGATAAGTGCATTTCATATATTTTCTGCAACTTTCGATTATGGATCCACGTTACTGTGGCGAAACTACCCTGGAGTTTGAGCCTTTAGAAGCTCAGTTCATTTCTCGGTGTCTCATGTGGGCGTCGAAAGTGGTACATCAGCATGGCCGTAGGCAGAGCCAAACCAAACTTCAGAATAATGTTGATTGGGGATCTTAAGGACTTAAGATCACAACCATTACATAATTATTTCAAATCATAACTGATCTCAGAGGGGATCTATGGCTTCAAGATCTCAAAATCATAACTGCGCTCTATTATAATCCATGATACGCATTGAATGGCGACATTAAATTGAAAAAGTGCGCAAGGTGCAATTGAATGGTGACATTAATTGAATGGTGGCGACATTAAATTGAAAAAGTGCGCAAGGTGCAAGAGGGACACTCATGGCCCTCCTGCCATGACACTAATGATCACCACGACTTATGACCCATGACCATGACTCTAATATAACTCATGACCTTTACACTAATGATCACTATGACTCATGACCTCTACACTAATGATCACTATGACTCATGACCCTAACTCATGACCTGCTGCAGGTGCGCAAGGTGCAGGAAGGGCAGTGGCTGTGTCAGACCAGGCGGTACATGGGCACCACGCTGTACAACACGCGGCCTGCCTACCTGCAGGTCATAACAGGTATGGCCTTCCTGTTATCACCCGCCCAATATCATAGCGAAGTATAAATTACTGCAGTATAGTAGATACTCGTGCAGATAATTGGGTCATTTTGTCAAAATAATGACACACTTTCTGCCCGTAGCTGTGATATGCCATTTTGCTGGGCAAAAAAGTGTCAGGATAACCCACAAGAGCGCAAGAAGTCGCTCGGTGTTTCTGATTGATGCATAGTATTTTTTAAATATATTTATACATTATTTGTATTTAATTATCAGGATGACCCACATAAGCGCAAGTGTCTCCGTGTTTCTGTTTGATGCATGGTATTTTTTGATTGTATTTATTTATTATTTGTATTTAATTATCAGGATGACCCACATAAGCGCAAGTGTCTCCGTGTTTCTGTTTGATGCATGGTATTTTTTGATTGTATTTATTTATTATTTGTATTTAATTATCAGGATGACCCACATAAGCGCAAGTGTCTCCGTGTTTCTGTTTGATGCATGGTATTTTTTGATTGTATTTATTTATTATTTGTATTTAATTATCAGGATGACCCACATAAGCGCAAGTGTCTCCGTGTTTCTGTTTGATGCATGGTATTTTTTGATTGTATTTATTTATTATTTGTATTTAATTATCAGGATGACCCACATAAGCGCAAGTGTCTCCGTGTTTCTGTTTGATGCATGGTATTTTTTGATTGTATTTATTTATTATTTGTATTTAATTATCCACGTGGTATTTGGCCACACCAGACACTGACGAGCGGGACTACGAGGAGCGCTCAGGCGGCAGCGGCGATTCCCTCACGCCCATGTCGTCAGGAGACGATGACGCGATAACAACCCGTGACCCTACGGCCCCTACCGCCATCCCTGCACTGGGGCCTCCACCGTCATCGGGGCCTTTACCTTTCCCTCCTCACGGACCCTTGAACCCCAAGGTTCCCCCTGCTCTCCCAGGTCCCGACCCCACACAAGAACTTCCCCCTTCAGAAGACAGCGATGACGACGCTAAGCATGAGCCTGAAGTCAAGGTAATGCTTAGCTCCCTACACTACTAATTTATTTTATACTAAATTTTTTAGTCCTCCCTCCACTTCTCATTGAGCTGTTTAAAGTTGTCTTCTTCCAGGCTATTTTTAGACTTAAGATTCCAGATTTTATGATTAAACCCAGTTCGGCCCTGCAGAAGGGCGCATCATTGCTATCTGCTCGTGCTGAGGGTAAGGATAGGATCATGCTGAGGGTAAGGGTAAGGAAATGGGAGGCCGGATGATACAAACATTACTCTGAGATATAAGTGGGAATTTGTTTGAGTGTATTTGTTTGTTTTAACACGCGTTAACGCTGGGCAGCACGCGCCGCGCTTCAACTACTCCGCTGACGACCACATCCTCAACACGAGGACGGGGGCTACGGCGACGCTGCCTTGCCACGTCAACGTACACGTCACGTCCTGCGCCTGGGTCATGCCCAACAGCGCCCTGTTCGTCTGGAACGAAGGTATGGTCATGCCCAACAGCGCCCTGTTTGTCTGGAACGAAGGTAGGGTCATGCCCAACAGCGCCCTGTTCGTCTGGAACGAAGGTAGGGTCATGCCCAACAGNAGGTGAGGGATGCTGGAGGTGAGGGATGCTGGAGGTGAGGGATGCTGGAGGTGAGGGATGCTGGAGGTGAGGGATGCTGGAGGTGAGGGATGCTGGAGGTGAGGGATGCTGGAGGTGAGGGATGCTGGAGGTGAGGGATGCTGGAGGTGAGGGATGCTGGAGGTGAGGGATGCTGGAGGTGAGGGATGCTGGAGGTGAGGGATGCTGGAGGTGAGGGATGCTGGAGGTGAGGGATGCTGGAGGTGAGGGATGCTGGAGGTGAGGGATGCTGGAGGTGAGGGATGCTGGAGGTGAGGGATGCTGGAGGTGAGGGATGCTGGAGGTGAGGGATGCTGGAGGTGAGGGATGCTGGAGGTGAGGGATGCTGGAGGTGAGGGATGCTGGAGGTGAGGGATGCTGGAGGTGATGGATGCTGGAGGTGATGGATGCTGGAGGTGAGGGATGCTGGAGGTGAGGGATGCTGGAGGTGAGGGAAGTGAATATCATTATATTCATCCATCTTCAGTCCTCAATGATGGCCTTAGAACCTCTCATATTTCGGGCACTTATGGAAGTCCGCATCATTAGACTTGGCCGACTGTTGGCAAGCCATGAACCTAATAGCGGAGAGCTTTATGAATATAATGGGCACACCCAATAGATGTTTGAGCTTAAACTGATGGCATGGTATTTAAGCAATCAAAGGTCAAGTACTTTAAATCTAGTCCAATGGTCTTTGACCTACCATTAACATAAATTGCGGATTAAACGTCATTAATAACTCTGGTCCAATGGTCTATAACTGACCATTACTTTTAATCGCCAGCCAAACGTCAGGTAATGGAACTCCGGTCTACCTCCAGTACCTACATTTAATCTGGACTATTCCCGTTCGGTACTTTGAATTTATTTGGGCCACTTAAGGGACGAACTTCAAATAAATTTGGTTCACTTTAGGCAGGTACTTTAAATAAATTTGGTACACTTCAGTCAGGTAATTTAAATAAATTTGGTCTACTTCAGTCAGGTATTTTAACTCTGGTCCACCTCCATCAGGTGCGTGGTGGGGGTACGAGCGATCCAGAGGTCCCCTCCGGTGCACCGAGCGTTCGCTGCAGCAGAGCCTTCAGCTCAGGTCGACTTCCAGGGACCTCTCATCCACCTGCATCTGCTCGACTACCATCACGGCTCACATCTTGATGGTGAAATTAACTAAATGCCTGATAACATTTAGCTCGGCATATTAGATATATCTACATTCGCGTTTTGCGGTGAATTTTTCATCCCCCGGCTTGTCCGAAATAGGTTGTTCAATATCCAAGTTCTCATGCATGTTATTCTTTGGCCGTGATTGGAAATCGAATAGAACTTGATTGCTCATCGAAAAATATTGATACAATGAACAACAATTGAAGCATAATATAATTGATTAACCGAGCTCAACGTTTTTGAACGCATTACTAAGGTATCGCTGCGTGTATAGCTGACGTGATGTTCCCCCTACAGACAAGCCCACGCCGCGGCCGGGTGTGAACACCACTCTGATCGTGCTGCTCATGGTAGGCTTACTCCTGTTCGCTATAGGCTCCATCGTCATCTACTGCTGCTACAAGCGCGTGCAGTCCAAACGTGAGAACTGTTCAAAGAACATCCAGTCTTCGACCAGGAACAGCGACTCAGAGTACCAGCAACAATGGTTCCAAGGACGCAATCTCAAAATTGCTGATCCCAACTACACGGACGATTTCAAGCTGAGGAACGCGACGGCCGCAGCTGTTGGCGCCAACAAGATAGCAAATGTTGACGCTATGAACTTGAAGAACGCAAAGGCTGTCAATTACAGCGATATCGATCACTACAATCAGTATCTGAACATGCGACAGTCAGACTTAGCCAGTGCCAGGTCCTCAGCTTCCTCCAACACTACGCTCTCGACAATGGTACCAGATCCTTACGTGCAGGATAAGTCTTTGAGTTTCATCAGTTCGCCGAAGAATCCGGTTCACAACATGGCAGGAAATATGATCCAAAATCCAAGTTTTGCAGGAATGAATCCTGGAAATATCGAAGGGCAGAACGTTCCTTTTTATGAGTTGCATCGGCAGCTGCAGCGACCGGTGTCGCTCTACAGCACGAGTCACGTTTACGAAGAAATCGAAGACAAGTTGCCGCAACATAAGAAAGGAATGCCACACATAATTGGTCACGATGGTAACGTCGTGATCTTGCAAGCGCAGCCCAACGGGCAGATCGCCACGACGCCCGTGTACACGAACGTCGTGGAGGACCACGACGGCTACCTCATACCCAGCAAGTCGGCCAAGATAGTCAACAGAACCACCGAAGAAGACCCCATGCGATATCTGCCTATGAAAGGCACAGATCACGATTCAAGATCATCATTGGAAGGCAACACACAGAGGCAACACAATATATCAACAAACTTGAATAATCTCTCGTTAAATCAAAACCCAAGTGCACAGCACCAAATCTCGAACGACCAACATGGACACTACAACAAGCACCAATGGCGTAAATCCAGCGACAGTGATCTTTCCAATGACAACAATTACTCTCCGGAGCAGAAACAATCACCACCGCAGAACCCAAACTTAGACGAACCCGCTTCGTCGAAGAGAACCCCTCACAAATCAACCCCTACGACCCCGACAGGCAAGCGTCAGCGGATGCCCCTGCCTGCGACCCCTACAGAGAAACGAGGGCGGCTGGGGTCAGATGCCAAGCCCCCCAAAAGTTCCCTGAACGCAATATCTTCGTCAGTTCACCAAAGAACAACATCGTTGCCTGATACTACGACTGAAGGTAACACTAAGGCACGGCACAGCATGGCCCCGTCCTTCGTACCAGCACCCGAGAACTACGATGTACCAAGAACCCTTGATGCTGTAGCGAGGTCTGTTAACGGATCAGAAATATCACTTGATGATATCGACGGAACCATCGTCTGAGAGACACGTATTCAATTAGATTATGCAATTTATAAGTGTAAATGAGTTAGTCCCTTGCTCGTAGAACGAGTACGAAGGAATTAATTATATTGATGATGACCTCACAGTAGGATAAAGCCATTATTTGCTTCTATTAATATTATATTTATGGCACAGAAAGATTGTACGCCGCACCCACGAAATAACTCGTAACTTATTTTCGTGATTAGAAATATTCTATTTATTTGCACAAAATTTCCGTAGAACTGATTGACAGGAACAAATTGTATTGTATAACAGATTTGAGGTCAATATAAAATGTACAGCGCAGAACAAATAAAACATTCCGCTTTGGAGTACAATAAAACATTCATCAAACGTCGTGAACGTTAATAACTGGGCTTATTTATGTTTGACATGGAAGCGCAGTTCGGAATACCAACAAACCAAAATACAAATTCGAATATTCAAAACCAGCTTCAGGCACGCAGAATAAAGGATAATGCGGAAAATGCAGAAAACGTCACGGCAATGCAATGATAAAATCATGCAAAGATTTTTCAACCATTACATGCAAATCGAAGTAATGTCATGAAAAAAATTCTACCGGTGCTGGTGATAATAGAAACCGGGCAATTACGAATAAAGGGATATTTATTACGAATACCAGGGTTGATTATTAAGTATTTGATATTCTTTGGTGGCCAAAATGAAAACAGTGTCGCAAACAGTGACTTGGACCATATATACTCTTGCTGAGTTTTCCAGTCCAGTATCATATAACGTTTAGCAAGTAATATTGATGAAATGCCTTGATATCTGAGACATTCATATAATATTATTAATGTATATTAATTTATGTATATAAGTAATTTGTAAATACGTCAGAGATGAAGGCATGTGAAAATTGTATAAGAAGCAAAAAATATTGAAGAGCGTATCAATAGCTTGCAACCGTCCACATACACACGGCTGAGCTGTGAACAGATAATGTGCTTATATTATCTATGGCAACCCTTAATTACTATTAATGTATTCAATTACTATTAATGTATTACTACATTAATAGTAGTAATACATTACTACCTTAATTACTGAAAATGTATTCCTTCACTTCAATTCTAATTAAGGCATTTGATGTTGACAGCATGCCGAAGTGCAAGTAGAACAGGAGCATCGAAAAAGACTTTAGCCCGTAGCTAAATATGAAAAAAAGGGACCTCAATATAAAAAAATAAAGGGACCTCAATAAATTCCCAGATATATAATAATACTGTTAAGGAATATACTGGCCAAAACGCCTCCTGTTTCGCTGAACAACTCACTCGTGATCTTAGTATTTGTGCAATTTAACTAAAATATTATAATAAATGAAGAAAATTGCTTGTGACTACTTTTATTCAAAGACAGAGACTCCTTCTGAATGGTAACGTAGCGGCCTCAGTACACGTAGCGGCCTAAGTAAACTTAGAGGCCTAAGTACAGGTAGCGGCCTAAGCACACGTAACGGCCATAGCACACGTAACGGCCATAGCACACGTAACGGCCATAGCACACGTAACGGCCTAAGTACACGTAACGATCGAAGCACACGTAGCCGCCTAAGTGCACATAGCAGCCTAATTGTGCACGTAGCGATCCAAGTACGCGTAGCAGCCTAAGCACACGTAGCGGCCTAGGCCCAATGTTCCAACAAAACACTAAGAAATAAGCGCGCGGGATGCTAGTGACTCACAACGCAATCGCAATTCATGATAGATAAGAAATTCAGTGTATTTGGAGGAAAAGCTCCCGACAGGCCGTAGTACTCGATAAAAGTTTTTAAATGGAGACTGCAATGGACCAAAGTAGCCGTCCCGTCACCAACAAGACGCTCGATTCATCTTCATGTATGACTCGTCAGGTTACAGAAGGTGGTTTACGATTATTATCATGTCGTTAATTTCTTCATAATGTTATGTCCCTAACATAGAACATGACTGACTCACCTTTGCCGGACACGAGTGGGTCTACGCCGATTGACTCACCTTTGCCGGACACAAGTGGGTCAAGGCCGATTGACTCACCTTTGCCGGACGCAAGTAGGTCTACGCCGATTGACTCACCTTTGCCGGACGCAAGTAGGTCTACGCCGATTGACTCACCTTTGCCGGACGCAAGTGGGTCAACACCGATGCTGGCGCACATCTCTTGGAACTGACGCCGGAACTGCGGGTTCTTCCTAATTTCATTCTTGTGCTTAGCGGCGTAGTCCTCCAAGTTGCTTCGGAACTTCTCCATTTGCTGTACCATCTGTCGCAATCATTCATCATTAGTTCAAGTTAAGCTGAAGTTGAACAGTTTGAATGGTTACCTCTTTGCTGCATCATCCGCGACAATCGTGTTAAACCATCCAAAGGGTTCACACTTTGCTGTACCATCTGCCATAATAATTTATCCAGAGTTGAAGTTGAAAAATAGGTTTAACCATCCAAATGGTACCTACTTTTGTACAACACAGCAGAAATAACACACTTTATTGTTCATAAGTGACAAGCATCAGAGACAATTACAAAAACTCCATTGAAGCTCCGTGTTCTTATGCAATTCCTTCTAATTGTAGGATACCAATGAGTTGTAGGATACCAAGGAATTGTAGGATACCAAGGAATTGTAGGATACCAAGGAATTGTAGGATACCAAGGAATTCTAGGATACCAAGGAATTGTAGGATACCAAGGAATTGTAGGATACCAAGGAATTGTAGGATACCAAGGAGCTGTAGGATACCAAGGAATTGTAGGATACCAATTAATTATAGGCTACCAAGGAGCTGTAGGATACCAAGGAGCTGTAGGATACCAAGGAATTGTAGGATACCATATGGCAGCATCCTGTACTTTAATATGGCAGTATTCTGTATCTGTCTCTTATACACATCTAGATGTGTATAAGAGACAGGCCCAACAGCGCCCTGTTCGTCTGGAACGAAGGTATGGTCATGCCCAACAGCGCCCTGTTCGTCTGGAACGAAGGTAGGGTCATGCCCAACAGCGCCCTGTTCGTCTGGAACGAAGGTAGGGTCATGCCCAACAGCGCCCTGTTCGTCTGGAACGAAGGTA